ACATTATTTAGGGGAAATACCTCTTTAAACAGTCTGGTTGGGATGGGATCTAGCAGGCATGTGGATGGTTTGGATGAGGTTATTATTTTTGACAATTCAGAGCTCAACAGGACAAAAACTGTCCAAACATAAACCATGCTCTAGTGAAATTTTTAAAGTTGTCTCATTTGATAGGGGGCTAGAGATAGTAGAAGGAAGGATGGTTTGAATTTTCTCTCTAATTGAAATAATTTTATTTATAAAGAATCTCATGAAGTCATCACTACTTAACAGCCATCAGTGTGCTAATGATCCATTGTTATGCTGATGGTCCTTCTTGAGCATGTGATCAGCTGGTTTTGGTTGTCAGCAGCAAAACTGGTTGATCCACTCTGAGAAGGTGCTATTTAAGAGACGGAGCTGAAAACAGCACCTCAGACTGAGGAAGTCTCTTGGATGAGAGACGAAACGTTTCTAGATTTTTTTGCTTTGTTTTTTTTTTTTTTTGTTTTTTTTTTTTTTGAATGTCCAGAGGACCAGATCGAACTTTTTTGGATTTTTCTACCTGGATTATTGAGCATGCATCAGGATATCACTACTTATAGTTGTAGGGATACATGGTTCAACAGAAATGGGACTTTTAATTAGTCTAGCAATAGTACTAAACAGAAACCTGGGGTTATTTTATTCTCCTCTATTAAAGATGAGTAATACAAACCGGATTCCAAAAAAGTTGGGACACTAAACAAATTGTGAATAAAAACTGAATGCAATGATGTGGAGATGGCAAATGTCAATATTTTATTTGTAATATAACATAGATGACAGATCAAAAGTTTAATCTGAGTAAATGCAACATTTTAAAGGCAAAATATGTTGCTTCAAAATTTCACAGAGTCAACAAATCCCAAAAAAGTTGGGACAAGTAGCAATAAGTGGTTGGAAAAAGGAAATTGAGCATATAACGAACAGCTGGAAGACCAATTAACACTAATTAGGTCAATTGACAACATGATTGGGTATAAAAAGAGCTTCTCAGAGTGTCAGTGTCTCTCAGAAGCCAAGATGGTAAGAGGATCACCAATTCCACCATTGTTGTGCAGAAAGATGGTGCAGCAATACCAGAATGGTGTTACCCAGTGTAAAATAGCAAAGACTTTTTTAAGTTATCATCATCAACCGTGCATAACATCATCAAAAGATTCAGAGAATCTGGAACAATCGCTGTGCGTAAGGGTCAAGGCCGTAAAACTCTACTGGATGCTCGTGATCTCCGGCCCTTAAACATCACTGCACCTCAAACAGGAATGCCATTGTCAAGGAAATAACAGAACGGGGTCAGGAATACTTCCAGAAAGCATTGTCAGTGAACACAATCCACCGTGCCATCTGCCGTTGCCAGCTGAAACTCAACAGTGCAAAGAGGAAGCCATTTCTAAGCAAGCTCCACAAGCTCAGATGTTTGCACTGGGCCAGGGGTCATTTAAAATGGAGTGTGGCAAAATGGAAGACTGTTCTGTGGTCAGATGAATCACGATTTGAAGTTCTTTATGGAACACTGGGACGCCATGTCATCCGGACCAGAGAGGACAAGGATAGCCCAAGTTGTTATCAACGCTCCGTTCAGAAGCCTGCATCACTGATGGTATGGGGTTGCATGAGTGCTTGTGGCATGGGCAGCTTGCATATCTGGAAAGGCACCATTAATGCAGAGAACTATGTTCTGGTTCTAGAACAACATATGCTCCCATCTAGACGTCATCTCTTTCAGGGAAGACCCTGCATTTTTCAACATGATGATACCAGACCACATTCTGCAGCAATCACAACATCATGGCTGCGTAGGAGAAGGATCCGGGTACTGAAATGGCCAGCCTGCAGTCCAGATCTTTCACCTATAGAGAACATTTGGCGCATCATAAAGAGGAAGGTGCGATGAAGGCCCAAGACGATTGAACAGTTAGAGGCCTGTATTAGACATGAATGGGAGAGCATTCCTATTTCTAAACTTGAGAAACTGGTCTCCTCTGTCCCCAGACGTCTGTTGAGTGTTGGAAGAAGAAGGGGGGATGCCACACAGTGGGGAAAAATGGACTTGTCCCAACTTTTTGGGGATTTGTTGACGCCATGAAATTTGGAAACTACAGATTTTTCCCTTAAAATGATACATTCTAAGTTTAAACTTTTGATCTGTGATTTGTGTTCTATTCTGAATAAAATATTAGATGTTGGCACCTCCACATTATTGCATTCAGTTTTTATTCACAATTTGTTTAGTGTCCCAACTTTTTTGGAATCCGGTTTGTATAAAGTTCTAGCGTTACGGTGACCTTTTTTATATGTTAGCAGACTATCTTTCCAAGTTAAATAAAACTCTTCAACATTAGTAGAGCGCCATTTTCTCTCCTGGTTTCTAGATGCCTGCTTTAAAGTACGTAACTCAGAATTGAACCAAGGAGCCAGTTTCCTCTGATTGATTACTTTCTTTTTCAGTGGAGCAATTTTATCAAGTGAAGTTTGCATTGAAGTTGTAAGATGATCAACTAGATGATCTAAGTCACTGTTCTCTGATGCATTACTCTGCAAGACAGAGGAAAACAATGATGGAAGGGATTGTTTAAATTGAGTGAAAACTATTTCTCTAGGATCTTAGAAAGAAAGGGAAGTTTAGAGATGGGTCTCAAGTTTGAGCAGGTTGAAGGGTCAAGTCTGGTTTTTTTTATTAAAGGAGTTACCACTGCATGTTTAAAAGCGTCAGGAACTACACCTGTAGCCATACTGCTGTTTATAATGTCAAGAACAGAGGGTCCAATGGAGGGTAGGACTTGTTTAAAAAAACGGTGCAGGGATGGGGTCAGCAGGGGAACCTGAGGGTTTCATATGACCAATGACGTCCTTTAGAAATGAGAGGGAAATGGGTTCAAACTGGTTAAAGACCGATGTGGATGGGACAAAGACAGAGGGGTCAGCTTGGTCAAATCTCAGATCCAAGAGGAACAATGTGGGTTCCGTCCTGGCCGTGGAACACTGGATCAGCTCTTTACCCTCATTAGGGGCGGCTGTGGCTGGGTGGTTAGTGCAGTCATCCTCCAATGCGAGAGTTGGGGGTTCGAATCCACCAGCAGTCACATGCTGAAGTGTCCCTGGGCAAGACACTTAACCCCTCATAGCCTCTGATGTGTGCCCCATCAGTGTATGAATGTGATAATGCACTGATTAGTCTCATTAGAATGATTTGTTCAATTAGCTTCGTAGAGCTCTAGTAGAGTGCTGTATGAATGGGTAAATGAGGGCAAAGATTGTAGTGTAAAGTGCTTTGAGTATCTTGAAACAAGATAGAAAGGCGCTATATAAGTACAGTCCATTTACTAGGGTCCTTGATGTGTCATGGGAGTTTGCCCATCCTGTCTACATGTGTTTTGTAGACTTGGAGAAGGCATTTGACCGTGTTCCTCAGGTACATTGTGGGGGGTGCTCCTTGAGTATGGGATTTGGGGCCTGTTGCTATGGGCTGTTCAGTCCCTATACAAGCGGTGCGAGAGCTTGGTTCGCATTGCCGCCAGTAAGTCGGACCCCTTCAGGGTGGGAGTTGGACTTCGCCAGGGCTGCCCGTTGTCACCGATTCTGTTCATAACTTTTATGGACAGAATTTCTCAGTGCAGCCAGTGGGCAGAGGGTTTCTGGTTCGGTGGCCTCAGGATTCCATCTCTGCTTATTGAAGATGATGTGGTCCTTTTGTCGTCATCGTGGCGGCTGTGGCTGAGTGGTTAGAGCAGTCGTCCTCCAATGCGAGATTTGGGGGTTCAAATCCACCAGCAGTCACATGCTGAAGTGTCCCTAGGCAAGACACTAACCCCTCATAGCCTCTGATGTGTGTCCCATCTGTGTATGAATGTGATCTAACGCACTGATTAGTCTCATTAGAATTATTTGTTCAATTAGCTTTGTAGAGATCTAGTAGAGTGCTGTATGAATGGGTAAATGAGGACACAGATTGCAGTGTAAAGCACTTTGAGTGTCTTGAAATAAGATAGAAAGGCGCTATATAAGTACAGTCCATTTACAGTCTATATTGTGCCATGATCATCAACTCTCACTGGAGTGGTTCGCAGCAGAGTTTGAAGCGGCTGGGATGAGAATCAGCACCTCCAAATCTGAGGCCATGGTCCTCAACCGGAAAAGGGTGGATTGCTCTTTCCAGATTGAGGGTAAGGTTCTGTCTCAAGTGGAGAAGTTCAAGTATCTCGGGGTTTTGTTTACGAGTGAGGGAAAAATGGAGCGTGAGATTGACAGACGGATCGGTGCATCGTCTGCAGTCTTGTGGACTCTATACCAGTCCGTTGTGGTGAAGAGAGAGCTGAGCTGTATGGCTAAACTCTCTGTTTACCTGTCGGTCTATGTTCCTACCCTCACCTATGGTCACGAGCTCTGGGTAGTGACCGAAAGAATGAGATTGCGGATACAGGCGATTGAAATGAGTTTCCTCCGCAGAGTAGCTGGACTCTCCCTTAGAGATAGGGTGAGAAGTTTGGTTATCTGGGAGAGACTCAGAGTAGAACCGCTGCTCCTCCACATCTAGAGGAGCCAGTTGAGGTGGTTCGGGCATCTGGTAAGGATGCCCTCTGGACGCCTCCCTAGGGAGGTGCTTTGGGCATATCCGACTGGGAGGAGACCCTGGAGAAAACACAGGACACACTGGAGAGACCGTCTCTCGGTTGGCCTGGGAACGCCTTGGAATCCTCCCAGAAGAGCTGGAAGAGGTGGCTGTGGAAAGAGATGTCTGGACTTCCCTGCTCAAGCTGCTCCCCCTGCGACCCGACTTTGGAATAAGGGGAAGATAATGGATGGATGGTTAGTTGGTTGGTTGGTTGGATGGATGGATGGATGGATGGTTACGAGACAGGTGTTTAGTTTTTGGTACTGTTTTTGTCTCACAAGATCTTGTTACACCACCTGTCCTTTGTTTGTGACTTTTTTTGTACAGATTCATTTTTTAATCGCAATTTTTGTTTCCATTTCAGAATCATCAACCAAGTACAGTAAATTTGTCAACAAACACTCGGAGCTTCCTCGTCACTGCTGCCCTGGAAGTCTGTGACGCTCTGACGTTCGAAGAAACATCCCGGTGACTGGAGCAGCTATGCAGCTTGAAATTCAAGTAGCACTCAACTTTATAATTTCGTATTTGTATAACAAACTCCCTAGGCGGCGTGTGAATATCTTCGGTGAGGAGCTTGAGAGGCAGCTGAAGAAGAAATATGAAGGCCATTGGTATCTGGATAAGCCATATAAAGGTTCGGGGTTCAGGTGCATCCACACAGGGGAGAAGGTGGATCCTGTGGTGGAGCAGGCAGCCAAAGAAAGCGGGCTGGACATTGAAGATGTCCTAAATAACCTTCCTCAGGACCTTAGTGTGTGGATTGATCCATTTGAGGTTTCCTACCAGATTGGGGAGAGGGGACCAGTCAAGGTGCTATACGTGGACGATAACGAGAATGGGTTCGAGCTGGACAAGGAGATTAAAAACAGCTTTAATCCCGAAGCCCAGGTCTTCATGCCAATCAGCGACCCTGTCGGAGCTTCCTCAGAGTCCAGCTCCCCCTCGCCTCCTTTTGGGCAGTCTGCTGCAGTGAGCCCATCCTTCATGCCACGCTCCACCCAGCCCCTGACCTTCACTACTGCCACCTTCGCTGCCACAAAGTTCGGCTCGACTAAGATGAAGAGCAGCAGCCGTGGTAACGCCAACAGCAGCAGCAAGGTGGCCCGCACGTCCCCGACCAATAACGTGGGTTTGAATGTCAATACACTACTGAAGCAGAACGCCATGTCCACCTCCATGTACTCGCTGTACGGGCTGAGCCAGCAGCAGCAGAAGGTCTCTGCTCTGTCCCCCAATGCCAAGGAGTTTGTGTTCCCCAGTCTGCAGGGCCAGTCTAGCCCTGGAGCGGCGTTCCCTGTGGAGGGGTCCCTGGACCTGGGGCCACTGCAGTACAACAATGCCTTTGACATGTTTGCAGCCTATAGAAGCCTCAATGACAAGTCCCTGATGAATGGTCTCAACTTCAGCCTGAGCAGCATGCAGTATTCTAACCAGCAATTCCAGCCAGTCATGGCTAACTAAGCCCCTCAAAAATATGCTGTTTATGAATGAGGGGGCTCAAAGAGAAGGAAAAACAAAAGTGCACACTTAGAAACTGGACTAAAGGATTTAGCTGCGTAATCAGTAAAGCATGTGCCCAAGGGTGTTTTCTCATGTGCCCCCTTAAGTTTGTTTCCACAGAAAGCTTGTTGTACAAACACATCCAAGCTTGGTTAAACATGCATCATTATTTTTATTTTTCGTCAACCAAGCACAACTTAATTGTTTTTCACTGAGAAACTACTTCAAAAAGAATAAAAACAACAAGCTTCAAGTTTTGGCCTCTTACAGTATTTTACAAGTGGTAAGACGAGGCTGATTTTTACAAATTAGCACTACTAAAGTGGGTTTACTTGGTCTTTTTCTAATTGTATAATTTAATTTAGTACAGAGTTTGTAAAATATCAGAGTATATATTGTTTCTATGACATGGTGTTGCATTTATATCTTTTTACTACTCGAGTGATCTGTGATGGCTGCAGCAGCTTTTCCTTATTTTTCTTAGATAATTGTTAAAGAAATTCATATTTAGAGGAAAAAAAACATAAAATTCTGATTGTGTACAGAGTATTCCTTAGTGGTGGAATCCAAGTATAGGAATATTTGCTTTTTTTCTGAAAGATTAATTGTATTTTCTGTTAAAAACATTAAAGATTTTTGCTATACTATGGACAAAATGTAAGTGTATGAACATAAATTTTGTACCTACATTGTGCAATACTTGAAAAAGAAAAAGATACGGTATAACAAAGTATTTTGAGTCCGTGTCTTACATGTCAAGGGGAACTGAAATAGTTTATATTGAGTTTGTATTAAATGCTTGAAAATTATATGCTTGTCTTTATTTATTTATTTTTTCATATTTGCACCCTGGTCTTTTTAATACAATAAACTACAGTTGAACATGCTCTGTGGGAAGTGGTTTTATTTATTACTGTCTGAATGCTGATTTTTCTCTTGTTTAACTGGTAGCAGGATTTAAAAAAAATGGGTCACTTACACCAATTTTAGTCTGATTCTGTGTTTCAGAAAAATGTTTAGGGCTCTAGCTGTTTGGGATAAAACTTGCAACCTTTAAAAAAATATATAATTGTTTTAAAGCTCACATGTTTATAATGAGGTCTGGAGCTACTGACAATTGGTTTTAAAAAAGAAATTCAGGATCTAAAATGAAGTTCAGAGAGAGAAATTCCTTTTCTGATAAGGAAGACTTATTTCTGCTGATTGTATATTCAAAGATTGTTAAATGGACACCCCATAGTGCAATATATAAAGTAAAACTAACATTTGTAAGCTGATAAGTAAGCAGTGGAGACTGTTTTGGCATTTTTACTAAAAAGTTAAAACTCCAACTTGAAATCCAATAAAAAGGTTAAAAACAAAACTGGATTTTATTTGTAACTGGAGCAGCGAGGCCGATCAGTACCTTCTGTTTGACTCTCACCATCCACTGGAACACAAACTCTTGTCATCAGAACTCCACAGCATAGGGCTGAGCATGTCCCCGTGAAGACAATGGAAGGAAAACGAACAGAAACGCATAAAAGAAGCTCTCCAAATATGTGGATATTGTAACTGGGCTATTGTCAAATCAGCGAAGAAATCTACAAAATGCACCACTGAACAGAACCAGAAGAAAAATGGACTGAAAAACACAAAGTTTGTTTTCTCAGTCATCCAGGTATATAACAACAA